CGTAGCGCCGTCCTCGTGTGCGTCAGGATGGTACGTCCCTGCAAACGTTTTTGTGACATCCAATGTTTCAAGCGGCACCTAAAGCTTAAAACCTTAACAACCCTAAACCTATAAACCCGAAAAGGGATGGGTTTTGGGGCCATTCTATTGGTCAGGGTTTGGAGCTTCGGGATCCTGGTTTAGGGTTCAGGGGCGGAAGCCGGCATGCGCCGAGATCTGCTATCCACGAACACGCTACTAAGAGGAGACCCAGGCAGCTCCTCGCAACAAGACTCAGACTCAACTCCTACTTCTGAGGGCGTCAACCGCAACATCAAGCGGAGGGACGGCCTTCTATAGATTCTATTTAGGCAGCAAATTCTCAAGCCTGATAAGCCCTGACCCTGCTGGGGCGCTGGACGTCCAGGCGTGCGATGTCCTCCCGACGCCGTTCGGCGGACCGCTTCTCCATCTCGCGAATCTGCACGGCAGGTTAAAAAATAGCACCAGCTTTCGCAACAGGAATCCAACGATGGAATGAAACTCCACACTATAGTCTATCTGAGCAGTGGGACCCAACAGCGAAGACAGGGAGGCAACTTGCAGGCCCGAAGTAGACCAGCAGTATCAGTAGTACTGCCACAGCAGCCATTCGTTGTTGAGCTGCCTCAGAGACCAGAGAGCTTTGCCTGAATCTGCCTCTTTTAGCAGAAACCTGCGCGCCGAGACCTCGAGCCATCCAGAGCATCAGAACAGGTTTTTGGCTCGGCTACCCAGCTACCCGCGACGCGTCGTGTCATCTCGAAGATGCATCGGTTTTCATGGACAATTGCTTTGAGTTACACAGCCTGGCGTCTGAAACGCCATCACATCTTCGCCTGTCCGAATCTCTGACCTGAAGCCCTGACCCTAAGCCTTTGATCTTATGAGTATATATCCTCGGCCATCTCGGTTTCGCCAAGAGGAGGCTGTGTATTCCTGCGTCTCCGGAGCGCATGTGGCGATGTGTGTGTGTGTGTATATTATATAAACAAACAAATACATGAAAACTCAGATATTTGTGTATACACAGATAGACAACCCAGCGTGTAGGTGTTGCAGCGCCCCCCCGCCCTGGCGCGCCTCCCCACAGGGGGCTAAAAACCTAACCCTCCTGGTCCAGCCTAAGCCACAAGGTTCTGCAACACCCTAGCAGTTGAGCCTTCAGCTTGCACCCCCTCGTTCCTCCCAGCCCATTCCTGAGACACCCAACAGACATTTCCCAGTTCTGGTTTAGAAGCCACCCTAAGTCTCTGAGCTTTAAACTCCTAAGCCCAATGAACCTTATGAACTAACTCTGGGCCGGCCCTACGCCTCTAATGCCCCTGGGCCTTACAAAGCTCAAGGCCCTGAGCCTGCCTTATCCCCTTGGCCTGAAGCTCTAAACCCCATGGCTATGCAGAGACAAGATCGTGTTTGCGCATTCTGCAGCTTATCCACAGTGCATGCCTGAGTGCAGAATGCATGTGCGCACTGAAACATGTACAGTCTGACATACGCGCATGTTTGCGCAGACGAGGGAGCTCCAAAAGTGAGCAGGTCCCAAGAGCAGGGCAATGTGAGCGCTGTGGGAGTGTCAGATGTTTGAGTTTTGGATCTCCTGTGGCTCATTGAGCCTGGTGCTGGGAAGATACCTTCGGGCAGACATGTGGGAGAGCGAAGAAATGCTACGCTTTCTCCCACGCACCGATCTCTCTTGATCTGCGTGGACACCAAAACACTTTTGAGAAGTCTTTGAAACATCTATTCTGCGTGCGCAAAAGTGTCCGTGCACAAAAAAGCAAGCAAGCCTCTGTGAGTACTTCACGCGACAAAGCAAGCAATGTCTTCAAGCACAGAATATACGTCTGCGCATCCCAAGTGTGAGCAGGTCTGGCTGTAGAAGCAAACAGCTCTCAAGCCAAAGCTCCAATCGATCCCCCGCCTGGAGCTTTTCGAACATCGACCTGTTCTGAGGTGTCATGGAGCGTTGCCCTGTTCAAATTGGGAGGCAGGGGCGAGATTTTTGGGTTTCTAGGACGCCAGGTTCTGGAAATCACACGGCCATGAGCAGTCCGAGTCACTGAGCAACTTAAAGGGCTTTTGGGATTATGGCATGGTCATCTCCAGCTATGTCTTCTCGGCAACTTGCTCAAAACTGCAGCCCCTCAACCCTTAAACCCTGAAGCTTTCACAGTAAACCCCAGAATGCCCAACTCCTGTTTCACCTCTCCCAAGCCTCATCGAAGTACGGTCTCCCCCAAAAAGCTCTCGGAAAGAGTCGGCGTCTCTGGGAGACAGAGCCCGAAGTCTTGAACCCAAACTCACAAACACAAACTCCTCAACCCCACAGCCTGAAGGGCCTTAAGCCCTAAATGCTAAAACCCTAAGCCCTGAAACCATTCAGCCGAAGGATTCGGCTTTGGGATGGAGCATCTGTGGTTGGTGGTGGAAAGCACTTAGCAATGAAACCCCAATCGATTAGCTTCATGTGCCGAGGGCTGCGCAGCATGTGACCCTTCCTGGTGCGGTACTTACGCCAGTCCTGCAACAAGGAAGCGGGTTTGGCGTCCGGGCGGGCTTCAACAAACACCTGTGATTGACTCTTGATGCTTTGAGTCTTTCAGTGCAAGCAGAAGCCTGTGCCTGCACAACGATCACTATCACCCATGGGCAAGGTTGTTTTCTGCAAACTAACTACTGAAAAGTCCATTGTCAGCTCTTGCTCTCGAAACCAAAAGCCTCGCACGCTTCCTTGGGCTTCTGGCTGCTCACAACTGGTGTGGTACGAAGGCACAAGGTGTGTCGGTGTACTGCCCATGCAGCTATAATCGTATGTTTCCAAGGGTTGTGCCAGGCCTTGTCGCACCACAGCACGCGGTAGTCTGGGCAGCAGAGTCACACATGCACGGTGCACACGCCCTCGATCCTCATCCCTGAGTCCCTAAAACCCAACGTGCCAAGTGACAACATTCAGGGCTTTGGGAGGTGCGATGTCTTGACACGCGCATACGCCGGAGATTGAAGAACTCATCTTGGTACTCATGTCGGGTTCTCTGCTGGGTTTGGGCTCCAGTCCGAGACCCTGGAACCGCGTCCTCCCATTTTCATGGAGCTTCTGCAGAGAACACAGCTGGGACTTTGGAGCAAGAACAAATGGGCCAGCTGGTTCAAACCTCAACGGGAAGCCTCGCGAAGAGTTAGCCTCACATCGCCACACTCCCAACTCCCAATCTCGAAAGTAGAGACCTTCACGGCCTTTCACCCCGTCTAGGAATTTATATCCTCAGCCCCACAAAACATCGCTAAAACTCCCAACCCTCTGAAACCCCTGAAGCCCCTAAAAGCCCGAAACCCCAGGAGGCCACCCCGGGCAGAGCCGCACTGAGGTGACGGGCTCAGGGGAACTTCGAGACCGGTGTTGTACTGAGCGGACAGTTTTGGGTTTAGGAGACGTAGAGAAGTTCGAGGGGTTTCAGGGCTTGCTTCGTGAAGTTGCAAGGGTTTTAGGGGTTTAGGACTGAGGATGAAGAGGTTTGGCTGGATGTTTAGGGCTCTAGGAATTCTGTTTTTGGGTGGCTTAGTGTGTTTAAACATCTGGGAGGGAGGAGACGTTTGGAGGTTTACGGGGTCAGTGGGTCGAAAGGTTCGTAGTTTGGGGTCTCAAGTTTGGGATTTGGGGCTCTCGGGTTTTGGCGGCGCGGTTCAGGACTTCGGGCTGGACTAAAGGTTCTGGGGGCTAGGGTCTGTTGTATCAGAGAGGGGGCTTACTACTTCTGCGATGCCGCCTCTCCAAAAGATAAGTGAAGCACAGCAAGCCCCGCCTAGACCTCTTTAGCGCAAAGCTCTAACACAACAGCCCTTACATCCCTAAAGCCCAATCCAGTAGATTCCAAACCGCGCAAACCCCTTTTAACCTCCCCTAAACCACCCTAAGCCCCAATAATATCACGATTGTCAGTACGACCGTATGCTTTTAACATTGACAGTGATACCAGTAAGAACTTCTGAAAGAGTTGATAGGTAGCAACATTCTTCCTAGCTGCGTGAATACATCATCCGCTAAACCCTAAGCCCCTAAATCCCTGAACCCCTCGGTTGGCTTTCAAAGGAGGTTATTTCGGCTCCTTTCCCAGAGGCCTCCCAAAGGCGCACCCACTCGATGGTGCCCGCTTCACGGGAGAGGTGCTTCTCCTACCCCCAGGAGTTCTTGGAATTTGTTGAGCTTTGGTTTTCAAGGGTTTGTAGGGGCATTTTAGCGTTTTAGGGGCTTTGGGAGGTTTAGGGCTCTCAGGGTGCTCGGCAAGATTAGGAGCTTCTACCCGTAAAGCACTTAACGCCCCTGAACCCCAAACTCCCCAACCCCCAAATCCTAACCGCATAAAGCCGAAACATTGGAGTTTAGGGCTTCTAGTAGATGGTTTGAGGGAGTTCGGTCGCAAGAGGCTTACGATGGCTGCAGGGAGGTGAACGTTTTAGGGGTGCTTCAGGTGTCTTTGACTTTTGATGAGATGGCTAATGAGGGATGGTTTTGAACCTCTCTAGTCCAAGAAAAGCCCCAGCATGAGCTAAATATCCTCTGAACCGGCCCTGAACCCTACAAACCCTAAACTTCCTAAACACGGGGCCCACAAGGCCGAGGATCTTCGGCGGAACCCAGCAGGAACACTTCAACCCCCACATGCATCCTCCAGGTACTTCTTGAAGTAGGAGAGCGCGTAGGTGTCGCCCTGACAAAGGCTCTATTGGGTAGCATCTCCTAGGTGTTTGCACCCGAGCTCATTCAGCCCCAATAGGTCACTAAATCTCAGGAGTTTGGCTTCTGAGCTGTCTACGCAGGCGCTTGGCATTATCGACCGACCGTCACTGCTCCCTCCCCAAACCGCGATGGAGACTCCGAGTCACCCTAGCGCACCTGCACATGACCAAGGATGAAGGCGGCCCGGACCTTGCAGAAGGGGCTGGAGGAAGGACGAGGCGAGCTCGGTGACTCGTGTTTAGGACTTGAACTTTCCAGTTTAGGAGGTTTGAGGGTTGCGGGCTTGAAGTGAAATTTCGGTGTAGGTGCTGCAAACTGTCGAATCCTAGCGTGTGAACAAAAGAGATTTGATACGGTGGGGTTCGATTTGTGAGGACGCACCATGAAGTGGCCTCTCTTGGCTCTGGGCCTTCTTTTCCGTCAGGTCTGGTTCACTGAAAAATCAGCAATAAGCCAAACAACGCATGTGTGTACATGTGAGTATATGTGTATATATATATATATATGCATATTCGTTTCCAGATTGGCTTCTTCTTTTCGTTCACATAGAAGTTCTCGCGAAAGAAACTCAGGGCACCACCCGCCCCCCCCCCGCCTGCTGGTCCCGACATGTCCTAATATCCCCAAAGATCGGCCCGAGTTCTTTGCCGTTGCCCGGCTCGAGGTGCTAGTCGCTCTTTGTGAGTTTTTGGGGCCCCGGAGCCCCCCTAGAGGAAGCAGATGGGTTGAACCGGATACGCGTGCTGGGCTCAGAGAACCTGGACTCGGGTTGAGAAGGGTCAGCCGTCTCAATTTGAAGGGCTGAGGGCTTCAGCAGTTCAGGGGTTAGGCGGGTTTAGGGTTTAGGCAAACGGCTTAGGTTTTAGGGCACTTGAAGCATTGGGTTTAGGAAGTTTGGGAATCTGCACCGGCCTTCAGCCACCCAACCAGGTGGAGTTGGAAGGCAGTATCGAAGACCTGGCGATCTGGCGGACTTAGACACTTCGGGGCTGCGGATTTGGTAATTTAGGCTTTCGGTTTCACGGGTGAAGAAAAAGGACTTTCGGTTTCAGAAACTTTTCTTAGGGACATGTGCGATCTTCCTGCCTTTGCCACTGAAGGCAGCGCAAAACGAACAGCCCCCCTGACCTCCGCCCTCCCCCCCCAAAAAAAAAACAAGGAATAATAAATATTAGCAAATAAAGCAACCAAAAGCATGACTTGCTTGAGGACCCCAACCTTCCCCAAAACATGATGTGAAACAGAGAGGACACTACACGCTTCGCAAGGATATGGCGAAGGAGGCCCTGTAAGTATCCAGAGGCAGGCTCCCCTGGGCGCCGAGGCCTGCCAACTCCCTGTCAATTTCTCTATGCTCTTATGAGGATTCCCTTCAAGATCTCCACCACTCTTAATTAAAGCGGGCGTGCAACGTTTGGGCGGCCTCAAAGGTAAGTCGGGCTTCGAAAATAGGCCGTGGCAGCCTTTGCGCTACAGTACCAACGGTTACTTTTAGTGAGAGCCTGAAAGCGGATCAGAGGCACAATGCGAAACTGAGACGGCAAGACTTTTGTGAGCGTCAGCTTAAGGGCCTCCTTTGCTGGATAGACAAGCCCATTAAGCAAAGGGAGCACTAGCTGCCCCAACCCTGAACCGACATCTTGCCACCTCACGCGGAGCACTAGCCCACGCCTCCTTCTCAGCCAGGTAGCCCTTTTCGTGGAAGGTGCCTTTGACCTCCACCAGCCCAAGCCCTCTACACATGCCTTGAACAAACACAGGACAGGCCAGCACTCAACTTTAAAGGGGGGGGGGGCTTGGGGGCGCAGAGTCTTACCGGGTGGGAAGCTTCCTGGGTCATGCAATGGGCAAAGGCCTCAAACTGGAACTTGCTTTTCAGCTCGTGGAGGTTGTTCTCGTTGTAGTCTTCACTGTTCCGGCTCACCTGCATTAGTGATGCGAGGGGCCTGGGTGCGGGTTGTGTTGGGTCTACGCTTATCATAGGGCCCGAAGCCGAAGACCCCTTAAAGTGTAGGATTTAGGGTCAAAGCAACGAAAATCACCCGAGGCGCAATTCGGGGCGACGGTGGTGGCGTCCACTTCCGCTGCGAGGCCGGTGTGAGGCCTGGTTTGCTTGGTCAGGTTTTGGGGTACAGGCGGCATCGGGTCTAAATCTAGGGGTGTCAAAGGTTTAGGTTGCATAGGGATACTTGGATGCTTCTGCTTGCAACTGATAGGTTCGAAGGCTGAAGATCACTTGACTGTTGAAGCTTGAAAGGTCTCAGCCTCGACGTAGAAGGCCACCATGAACACAGGGGACCCAAATCAAAGGCAAGAACCCCATGGTGCAAGCAGTCTTCTGTGGGTTAAGGCCCACACTGAACCCTAAGCCCCAAAGTTCAGGAATTCCTCTTGTACCCGAAAATAACCCAAACCCGAAGCCTCAACCCGTGGTTCAAAAGGGACAAGGGGCGGTTTGCCGGGTCGTACGGCTTCTCGAACTGTGGGTACCCCCGCCTGAGGGGACGTTGAAGGGCCATTTTTGGGACTTTCGGGACCTTTTCGTCTGGGTCTGTCAGGTAAAAAGAGTCATCGGGTTAAAGCTGGAGCCTAGTCTGCGTTTGTTTTTGGAGTTTGAGTCGGGCTGTGGGCTGAGTGCCGAAGAGCTGCAGCAGGGCTGCGGCAGAGGAGCATCATTTTGAGACACCCCAGCTTAACCCTATAAACCCTCAACCCCAATGTCCATCCGCTTGAGCAGCCCTTCACACTCCCTTCTCAAGCCCTTTAAAACTCCCAAAAACCCTTAAGCCTCCAAAATCCCAAAACGACCCTGGACACCCTCAAACCCTAAACCCCTTAAACCCTAACACCCCCGGCCCCCCGCTCCCCAGCCAAAACAACAAAGGCTCTGGAGCTCCGCGTCCAAGCCCGTGGCGCAATGAAAGGGTGGAGCTTTGGCCTGGCGTGGGCCGAGGTTTAGGGTCTCGTTTGATAATTTTTTCTTTCTTCTAAAACAGAAAAGGTTCAGGGCTTCACAAACAAAAGTTTCGGGCTTAAAGTAGGGTCTCGAAAGTTGGGCTTAGGGTTGCACAGACAAAGCTTAGGGTTTAGGGCTTAAAAAAGATAGGGTTGAGGGTTTAGGGTTTCACAAACAAAAGTTTAGGGTTTCAAAACCAAATTTAGGGGTTAGGGTTTTGGGCTGGGCCTTGCACCTGAAGCATGGCAAGCCCAAGGACGTCGGTACAGGACATGAAAGTTGATGAGCTTTAGAGTTTGGGGTTTAGCAGGCCTTAAAACCCCAAATACTTTTCACAAGCAGACCCCAGCTTCACGTTTTGGAAGCCTAAACCCTAAACCCTAAACCCTAAACCCCAAACCCGAAACCCGAAACCCGAAACCCGAAACCCGAAACCCCAAACCCTAAACTCTACCCTTCCCTCTCGAACTTGGGTCTTGGGTCTTGGGTCCAGGGACCGCTTTCGTGACGTGCTGGTGATAGGCTGAGCCCCAAACCCACTGTCATACACCTGTAACAAACCCGAAACAGATGGCACGTTCGGGAGCACAACGCAAAACCCTAGAGCCCTCAACCCTAAAAATCCTCACTAAAAGAGGCCCCAGAAGCCTCAAAACCCTCGAAGCCCTCCGCAACTTGCTCTTTGTTCATAGGGAAAAGGGGAACCAAGGGTACCTTGGATCACCCCCTAGAAGGCAACCTACTCGGAGGGATATAAGGTACCTAATTCCCTCAACTCAACTTACCTGGAAAATCAAAGGTACCCCAATCACCATAAATACTTTAGCTAATTCCCTCAACAGAACTGCTACGTGAAGATGGAACTCGCCAGCCCCACGGCCGCAGCATGCCGTCCCACTGACGCCACTCGGGGTTGGGACGCGGAGATTGGCCAATCAGCCTCTGACACAAGTGTATTTCTAAGGGGTTTATACTTGTGCATATTTGTAGTGACTCAAGGGGGTCTTTGGGACCGCTTTAGGGGGAATAGTTGTACGAATCGATGTCTTGCGAGGTGGGTCAAGTGCCGTGTCAGACGACAAGCGTTTTGAGGTTCGTGAAGCTTCAGGTTTGGGATTCGGGCTGGTGGCTTGACGAAGGTTTACGATTCAGGGTGGTGTCGGCGGCTGCAACGGGGCCCTTCTCGCTCTGTCCGTGCGAGCGCTGGATGTACATTTATCCAAAAGTTGTGGGTGCTGATCCTACTTTGATGACCAAAAGCTTTCATGCTGCCAGAAAAGCGCTGCTCTCTGCCCTTTTTTTAGCCCTCTTTCGGGTTCAGAGAGGCTCTCAATGTGGCTGCCTCTTGTATCTGGCGAGCTTCCGCAGCTGCACCATGGCGTCTACAAAGCGGCAATGCCCTAAAAGCTCACGGAACTTAAGTCCTGATGTCCAAGAACCCTGAGCCCCTGAAAATGCATTCTGTAAAGCCTCAATCCCAAAGTCGGGAACTTGCATCTGAAAGTCTGCTGTTACCAATCACATCATCATCTCGGAGTTGGGTCTTGTTTTGGTGTTAAGGGTGTGTTTGGCTTGCTTGGGGGTCTATTCCCTTGCATCGCATGGCAGAAAGCCTGAGCTTCAGAAGCCTCTGCTGCGAGCAAAAAGTCAGTTGCGTCGCCGGATAGGGCTCAGAGGCATCTTGTGTTACTTGTGTTTCTGTACTCGTCATCCCAGGTCATGGCGCACTGAACATGTAACGGAAAACGTCTCCAGCCTCGATGAGATCTTCGTACTTTGACTCTCCGCGATTGGAGCTCGATGCCATGATCGAATCGATGCTGGCTGTCCACAGACAAGCTGAAGCAGATCGACATCAAGACAGCCAGAACCTGCGACATGATCCCAAAGACACGGCAAAACTTTGAACAAGCAAAAGCGGGCCCGTACCTCGTATCCAAAGCGAGCAAGCTAGATGTGGAGACTTGATTGCTAAGCAACGCTGCCCTGTGTTTATCCGTCTACTTCTGGCAATCTCAGGATGGTGGTATCACTAATTCTTGCCCAGAGACAAAATCATTAGCCAAATCTGTGAGGAATACACTACACAACAAACCCGACAAAAAGGCCGCAATATCCGAACAAACAACAGCTGCACTCTGCATGTTTTCTGCACTCGACCCGGCAGCACCGCGGCGCGAAGTTCGGGCATCACGCAGGCATCCTCCCTTCCCTCCTGAACCCTTTAAGGAGCAGAGCAGGCTCCAACGACACTTGGCTCGTTAACTAGCGCGCAGTCTGGAAAGTCAGGAAGGGACACTCCGTCTCAGACACTTGAGAGGCTTAGACGTGTGTAGAAGATGCCTGGGGGACGCCCTTAAAGCTTTTGGCGTCCGCATCATCTGCACATTGCCATGGGCTGGTCGCCTGCATGTGGCATGCGCCTGGATCTTCCTACGGCCCCTTCACAACGTCCTGACCCCCGTACGCCCTAACCCCCGAACACCCCAAAACAGCCACCAAGGCATCCTGGGCTCTTTGAGTACACTCGTAGTCTGTGCTGACCTCCGACCCTCGAAAATTTGCGCAGGCTTGACTTCGTTAACATGGGCTCATGGCCACGGGAAAGCTTCCGCAGGTTTCCGTAATCTGTCTGGCATGCCGGGCATGCTGTACATGGGCTTCAGAAGCGGCACAGGATGCGAAGCAACCATGAATCGCTTCATTGTGCATTGGGCTTGGAGATCGGGCCTACACAGAACCTCGCCGAAGCTCTCTTGGACCAAAGCATCGAAAATCTTTCTTGCGCCCCTCATCAGGACACCTTGGCAAGGTCTTTGGCAGCTTGCGCGTCGCGCACGCGGATGTGGGCCACGGAGGCCGCAAATGTAACCTCAAGAGTTTGAGGGGAGCTACAGTCCTCTGGTTCTAGAAACGCTAACGCACCCACGCAGCTAAAGGAGGCCTTAGCCCTTCAAGCCCTTAAGGCGAAAAGGCCGGAAGCTTTCTATCTTTTCTGTGATGGAGCCAAGGCCCTCAAAGCCTGAAGCCTGTAGGGCTTGAAGGCTTGAAGCTATTCGATGCAGTAATCGTGGGTGACCCACACAAACCTGCTAGAACGAATTACTTTCTGGGTTCTCCGGGAACTGGCTCTTTCCCTTGCTTCCTTGGGCTGAGGCCAAGGCTCTTAAGGCCTGAGGCCACTGAGGCCTCAAGGTCTGAATCTTTCCTGACTTTTTCCACACAGATACCTGCAATTATAGAGGGGAGAAGAACGCCTGAAACCCTAAGCCGTATCGGCCCTGATCCTTGAAAACCCCCCCAAAAAGCCAGAAGAGCCCCAAAACGTCTCTGGGGCCCGGGCGGCAGCACTACAGGCACTCTCCAGGCCCAGGAAGTGGCTGGTGGGCGGCATTTGGGGAGACTTCTTTGGCTTTTCTTGAGGGTTTGGGACATATTTTAGGAGGCTTGCGTTGAGGGTCGTTGGGAAAGTTCTAGGGGTTTCTAGGGGGGGTTCTAAGGGTGAAAGGGTTACTAAATAGGTTCTTGGTCCTGATTCTGGAGGTTTTAGGGGAGGGTTTCGGGGTAGGAGTTCAGGGATTTAGGGGTGTTTGGAGCTACCATAGCAACTTGTTGGGGCGCCGAACTGCGCATCTGGCTTTGGAGCTTGTCCAGCTTCAAAGCAAAGTCCTTTAAAATCGCCCAAACCCCGAAGGCCTAAAGGGGCCCTCGCCAGGGAAGCGGAAGGACCAGTAGAGACCTCAGCTGAACTCGGCGGTCAGGGGATGTCGGGTCTTGTGGAGGAGTGTTCATGAAGCGCGACCCTAGCAACCCTAGCATCTGGGGTGTGCCCTGCACTGACTGTAGCGTAGGCGACGCTATTCTTCATATCAAGCAAGGCAGCGACACATCGCACCATCATGGAGAGCTACTTGTGAACCTGCAGTGGGGGCCTATGCGCCTTCGACTGCCCGAAATCCCCTCAACCCCCTGTTGCAAACCCTGAAGCCCTAAAGAATCAAACCCCCAAACCCGAAGCTAAGTCTGAATAAGCCCTGAGAAACCCCTAATCCCCAAAACCTCAACCCTCAACCCGAATCACCTTCACAAACATTCTTCAAACCCCCTCAACTCTGTCAACTCTGTCAACCTGCGAACGCCAGGGCTCCCGGAGCCCCGCCATGCCAAGTGTCGGACCAAACACGGCGAATGCGATGATGGATCCTGCAGCCTGCGCTTGGGCTTGTGGGGTGACAAAGGAATTAGGGTTCAGGGTTGCTTAGGGTTTAGGATTAGTCAGGGTTTAGGGGTTAGGGTTACTGTTTAGGACATCCACGGGCTTGTGAGGTTCAACTTCAAGTCCCTAAAAGCCTAACGAGCCCTCAAGAGTGCCAAAACCGCTCTACCCAAAACTACAAAGTGCTCGGGTTCGGGTGGATTTGCACGGTCTGGAAAGCCTCACCCTAAACCTGAGGGGTTTGGAGGCTTTACTGGCGGTTTTTTGCCCCTTTTGCTTGTGGGCTGCCTCAAGTTGCAGGACCCCGCCTGCGCAAGAACGCGCAGGAAGAGCTGGACCTGTTTCGCAACAGGGGATTCGGCTTGCACGCCCTAAGTCCTGTAGCGAGACCAGGACTCGGCCAGGAAGGCTATGAGGTTCGGTTGGCTTCTAAATTACACCTACTTGTTGCTCAGCCCGCTTTGCTGAAGGTGAGAAGATGCCTCTGCACATGTGTGGCAGGAATGTCAGAATAGCTGAATTTGACAACTGCTCAAGTGTAATTAAGTTATTTGTGAGCATTGGGACCCCACGGCTTTGGGCACGCCACATTGTTTTCAAGACCTGAGACAGCACAGGCATCCAGTTTTCTCTCCAGCGCTGTAATGCCAGCAGAGATCTCTGAACATCATGCAGATGTTTGCGAACTTTGATGGTTCAGCCATTCTCCCTCCCGGTGCCCTTACATTCTGTGCAAATGTACGATCCGCATTTTTTTGCATCACAAACATCCTCAGAGCTAGGGTCTCATGGTGGCATCCTGAGGACACCAGAAGGACCCATACTACTCGAACTATGAACACGAGGACTGCAAACAGCGCCGAGAAACCCCAGACGTCGAATCCCAAAGGCAACAAAACCATGCTCGACCACACTTTGCAAGCCTTCATTCCGGCTGAAGAACTAAAACTGTGAACCGACAGCACCACGAAAACCAGTATTGTGGCCGACTCTATGGGTTCACAGCGCTCAGGAGTTCACTCGCTACCCAGGGCCCGTTTCCTGCCCCGGCGCTCGGCGACCTTGTCTCTTCTTGACTGGGTTTAGAGGGCAAGTAAGGGTCAGGGTTTAGGGTTCGGTTTTGGGTTTATAGGGTTGAGGGGGGTTTATGTTCAAGGAGTAGATGGGGTCTGGGGGTTGTGTAGTAAATATCAAGTTCATTGACATAATTTTGGTTCTTGGGTCAAAAGAACTGTGCTTGGGATGCCTGGGATATGGGGCCCAGAAGGCCGGGGCGCCAACATGTGCACCAGAGACCTGGCAAGATCGGGATGCTCCCCGATGATCTGATCCACTGCGGGCATCTGCGTGTCCAAGATCGCGCAGTCGTCCTTCTTCAGCATGGCCTGGGCTTTCGATGGGCGTGGCGCCCCACTAAACACAACATGTTTTTGCAAAAACGATCTAGTTTGGGGTGCCGAAGCCAAAGACGCCCCGACTTGTTGCCTGAAATTTACAAAGCCACAGGGTTTTTGGGGGTTTTCGGGGTTAAGGCCCACAAAAAACTGCACCATGGTAACCCATAAGGGGAGTAGGATTTCCTGACTCCCTCCTCCCCTCTCTCCATGTAGGATTTAAGGCTCAGGGTTCCAACCGTAGGTAAATTCGCACTTCCCTGGTTGAGGAGCAGTAAACTTAAGGCTGCTCAGGTTCCAGGCAAGCCATCTCCAAAGGACCACCGGTGCCTGCCACACGGCCCAGGAGGGACAGCACGTTCCCTGGCACAGCTTTCCCGGCTTCCCCCCTGAGCCCCCTAAACCCTAAACATCCCAAAGCCCAAACACTCTAAACCCTCAAACAGCGTCATAACCCTTCACCTACTCCCACAATCGCAGCCCAAACCCCTACGCAATTAACCCTTATAAAGCATCCCTATATCACCCCGAAAGAATCCATGTAAGCCCTTTATTCTAAATAGATACAAATAAATGAATAGAAACGAATATAAATAGATATCTATATATATATATATGTATATATTTATACATACAAACATGTATTGGACCTGCAAGCCCTCCCCTCCTTCTGCCAATCGCTGGGCAAGTATTGCCTCGACTTCCTGTACCTTGGCGTCAACGCCGTCACCGACCACTTGAGGGTGCAGAGGGCTTTGAGGATCAAAGTGGTTGAGGGTTCAGGGTCGCGGGTTGAGGGTTTTAGTGTTTAGGGGACCAAAGTAAGGGTCAAATCAGGGTTAGCCACCTGGTTGGGTAGAGATCTTCTACGGGGTTAGTCTGTAGACACCGTAGCCTCACCAAGATTTGCAAAGTATTTGGTTATCAGCGTTTGCCATCTGTGGCATCAGCGTTTGCCATCTGCGGCTTAAGTTTGAGGAGGTGTTTGGACCCAGGCTGAATCGCTTCGATTCTCCAAGGCACAGGGCCGTGGGTCTTGAGGATATGCGGGCCGGGCTGATTAGTATGATAGAAGGGCTTGGTCTTATTGGGGGTGGGGGGGCCCAGAGGGTCCCAGAGGGATCAGGTTCCCCCCCCGGCCTCCCTAAACCCTAAACCCTATAAACCCTATAAACCCTATAAACCCTATAAACCCTATAAACCCTATAAACCCTATAAACCCTATAAACCCTATAAACCCTATAAACCCTATAAACCCTATAAACCCTATAAACCCTATAAACCCTAAACCCTAAACCCAATCTCCCAGCCGAGCCACCAGCGCCTTGACCAGGCAGCGGTCTGCCAGCCTCCGCAGCGCGAAGTAGTATTCGTAGTCCTCCCGTTCTGACACACTCTCTCTCTCTCTCTTTCTCCCGCACTCCCTTCTCTTTTTCGGTTTAGGCTTTGGAGTTTGGGGTTTAGGGCAGGTCACAGGGAGCGGCCATGTAAGTTAAATCCAAAAATAAGAATCGAAGTCCAGCAATTCCAGCCCCGTTTAACCCTAGTCCCAAAAATCCAATACCAATGTTCGGGGATGGGTTTTCAAGTTAGAGTTTACCGGTTTCCCTAAACTGTAAGCCCTTAACTACAACCAAAAAGGCCCCCAGGTCAATCCCAAAACGTTGATATCCTGAAAAACCCAAACCCTACAGCCGAAAAAACAAAACCCGCAACACAGACACTAAACCCCAAACACCCCGAAGCCCTAAACCCTATACCCAAAGACTGAAAATCAGACCCATAAACCCCCAACCCGCATCCTTGAACTTTAGTCTCCAACCCTAAACATCTCAATCTGCCTCGCCCCGTATGCCGAACAAAAAAGATCTTATCCTAAACCCTAGGCCCAAGCCTGAGCCCTAAACCCTAAATCCCTAAACCTTGAACCCGAATCCTTGAGCCCTAAGCCGGCTTGCTGGTTAAAGGTTTAGGATCTGTTTATAGGGATTGGGTTAAGGTTTTGGGGATACAGAATTACTGTCGCTACCACCCCTTAACCCTAAACCCTAGACCCTAAGCCCTAATGAATCACCAGCTCGGTCTTTTCGGCCTGTTTGACGAAGCTTCTCCTTGATAATCCGCGGGAACTTCGCCCCGAGGGGTTGGCTTAATTAATGGAGCTCCCAACTTATAGAGTTGAGGAGTTTAGGGCTTTAGGGTGTGGCACTGATCGAGTTTAGGGTTCTAGGGGTTTAAAGCTTAGAGAGTTTAGGGTGTTCGGGCGTAAAGCCTGTAGAGTCTAGGGCTTTAGGGTTTAACACGTATAAGAATTTAGGGACTTAGGGTTTGTAACTTACAAAGTTTAGGGGTTTAATGTTTGAACACATAGAGTTTAGAGTGTTGGGGTTCAAAACTTGTAGAGGTTCAAGTTTGAGGGTTTAAGCTTGTATACAGTTTTGGGTTCTCGGGTCTAGAACTTCAGAGTTTAGGGTTTTAGGGTTTCGAACTTATTTTGAGTTTAGGATTTTAGGGTGTAGAACTTATAGAGTTCAGGCTTTTCGGGCTTAGAACTTACAGATTTAGGGATTTAGAGCCGGAAGCTCAACCGTTGACATCTCGAATTGTGTCATGAGCGCCTGCGCATTGGCATCGTTTAAATGCTGTGCTCATTGCAGCACTTTGTTAGGACTTAGAGCTGCTACATGTGAAGCACAAATACCATCAAAGCCTTCAGAAGGGCAAAGAATCCAAAGAGGCTCCCGATGTTCCCGGCTGCTCCCGAAGTTGTGGCGACTTGCGAGCCCGAGCAGGAGACGGTACAAGAGGAAGATGATGGGTTCGCCTTCAAGGTGTTCTCAGTGTCAGTGGTGCAGCAATCCCCTGGATAGCAGGCAAGGAAGTCGCTGACATACTGGCAAACATCATCCGTGGTAATGTTGTCTCCCACTGGGATCGTCAGCGCGGTTCCACAGGAAACGGCAGCCAACGCATCATCAACGCTACAAGCAAAGACTGCAGGCGCAAGCACCGCAAGCAGGATTGCCGCTGCACGCATGCTATTTTTGGATTTGGATTGCCTTGAAAACCTTGAGCCAATATGAGCCACTCTGACGGAGCACACTGGCTGCGAGGAAGCCCTAAACTCTGAACACCAAACCCTGGGCTTCTTCAGCTTCCCTCACCCCGTGGAGTCCTCCTCATCTTCGGGCGGCATAACTTTGTCCGACCTGCTGGTTCTTGGGAGTTCGAGGTTTCAGATTGTGCTTAGGGTCTCGAGTTTAGAATCTTGGGAACTTGTCCCGTAGGCTTCAATAGGCAAGCCAAGAGAGCTACTGGTCGTTCGGAAATAGGTAAATAAGAATCTTGGGTCTCCAAGGGACTGTATAAGGACCATACCTTAGAACAACCCTGAAGGCTAACCCCTAAATCCTAAACCCCAAAAAGGCCCTAAGCCCTATCTACGTAACAGCATCCGGGCGACATGAGGAAGAGGATCAGGGCATGGACCGAGCGGCGATCCATCGTCGGATCGCTTTGGCAGTCGACTTCGTTGGTGCGCCCCTCCACCCAGTTCGCTTCCGCAAACATCTGCCTTCGGTTTAGGGGATATAAGGGCGGCTAATCCCAACACATCGCAGGTCTCTACATTGATTCTCTACATGATACAAGAAGCCCGCGTTACTCATACCCGCCGTCGAACGCACACATCCAAGCTGCTTGAAGTACTGGGACCTTGCCACCAGCACCCTCTTATCCGCGAAAAGGCATGGACCTGCAGAGAAGCGAAAGGCCACCTGCGTCAGCCTCTGTGAAAGGTCGATGTCACCTTAGGGCACCGCGTGAGTTTGGTTGGGCTGCTTTTGGTATAAGCAGAGTGACAGCCCGGCAGCAGAAGCGGAGGCACCCTGGGCACTGAACCATGTATTGCTGTAACCTACCCTAAGCCCTGCATGTGCTTGTAGTTCTCTCAAAATCCATAAGCATGCCTCTAATCAAAGACCACTCTCAAAACGAAAAGAGAGCACCTCTCTTGGAAGCGACTTCTCCAAGCCAAGCCGCGCAACCCTGCTGGGACCGCCTCTGGCGGACCCGGGAGGCTGACGCGGGCACGGAACCGCAGGTCCTCTTGGGAGGATACCCACAACAGACTTTATAGAAGGTCTTCGGGTTTTGCATTTCGTGGGTTCACGGTCACCGAGATCCGAGAGACCCTCTCCGCTTGAGTTCGAGGTGTGGCGCTCTGTCGGCTTGTGAAAGTTGTCCCTTTGGTTCCCAAGCCATGATCATGGAACAACTCCAAAAACCCTCTCTCCTGTGAATCTGGGTTGGGACAGAAGTCGTTGCCCCAGTTGTCGCTCTCGTTGCTGAAGTCTTCCGGGCCGGAAGCCACCACCATTCCACGGGGAAGGGACTGCGCCTCAAGGAAAGGCAGTTGAGGGGCAGGTTTGAAGGGTAGGATGGTCCTGGGGTTGAGGAGCCAAGTCTAGGAAAGCACCCTCACTGACTTCAACTGAAGCTACCCTCGGAAACATGAGCCTAACTTGAAGCCGAGGCGCATCCCAACATATGATGTCAAAGTCCACTTGATCGCATGTCCACTCAGTCACCCCAGATCCACAGAAAACGTAGATGTATGCGTTTGCATGCTCGTCCTCGATGGATCTGCCGAATGGATAGACACGCAGTTGAGAGTAGAAGCCGTCGAAATGACCGGCTTTCTCACTCCAGATGTTGTCGCCCACTCCGAAACGTTTCCAATCCTTGGCTGCACGTTTCGTCTCAAAGGAGTCCTGCCCAAAAACCTTAGTGGCTTGGCTTCAGTGTTTCTGTCTTGCGCGTTCTTTAAACTTCGAAGATGTTCTCCCCCACATAACTCCGACGTCAAGCTTCCTCGATCACCAGATCGATGTTGAGGTCCACCCGTCGCCCAGGCGCCATGTTGGAGGGCTCCGGCCTTTAGGGCCTTTAAGACTGTTAAGCTTTCAAGTCTAAGGGCTTGCTTAAGGCCCGAAGGCTCTGATGCCCCCAAACCTCCAAGAATCTCCCCTCGCCTCAGCAAGGCAAAGTCGTCACTTGATACGCCCTACATTTAAACTCCAAACCCTAACCCTCAGTAAGGGAAACCATGGGCAAACCAACCTCAACTCATGGCGCGGGCTTTCGATTTTGACAGCAAAGATCGGAGGTGTGGACTCGGGTGTAGGGTACTGTAGGGTTTAAGGGCCTTAACGGCCTACAAGCAGCTCCAGAGAAGCCGAAAGCAGCGACGAGGGCATCATGATGCTCTATGCTGGCAGATCAGCAACCCCACGGATTTGGGAGGTCGGGAGGCTGCAGTTTGCATCCCGGGGCTTTGTGGTCTAAGGTGTAATCCTCATTACAGTCAGGTCGACGTCTCAGAGCATGTCTGAGCCAGCAAGGGCCAAGTGTTTTTGTTCGGTGCCCATGATCTTGGGGAAAGTAACCCAGCATCACAGGCTGCGGGGTTCGGGGGTTGTAAGGGGCTTTGTGAAGTATGGGCTTCATATGGTTCATGGTGTAGGGTGCAGGGTTCAGGGCAACAGCAACCCCGACCTCACTTCTAACCTAGTGCTTGCAGGTTACTTCCTTGAAGAATCAGGGAGGCAGGTTTCCTAAGCATACTTTCAAAGGGTTATATATATATATATATGTTGGGACAAAAGGCGCCCAAGTCTTTGCCCTTCCTTTCGAAGGTGCCGTTAAATTTCCGACACCTTGAAGTGTTGGGACACACGCTTGCGATGCCTTCGTCATCTGATTGCGGCCGCCGGCCCACCTCGGTGTGGACCAGGAGGCCGCTGCAGGTCTCTCAAGGCCCAAGACGCCACCAAGTACCACAGCACATGAAAGGCAGAGAGCAACAAGAACCGGGACGACATGAATCCCACAGCCGACGACACAAACCACGTAATCTCTGCAGCTTACGGCAAAGCCAAAGCTAATATGGAACCTCCACCCTATGAGCCCTCGATTCCAAATGCAAGTGCCAATCGAACCAACGCAAAGGCTCAGCCATCCAGTAAGCACGCAGATTCTCGTGCAAGTGGAAAGAAACCCACACGTTCATTAAAATCTGAGTCTTGACAAGGACAGTCTGCACTCTGCACACACTAGCTCCGCGCACACCCAAAGTAAATGCCCTCTACCCAGCCGCCGCCAAGCCCCCAAACCCCAACCCCCCCCCCCCCCCCCCCAAAAAAAAAAAAAAAAAAAAAAACCGCAAAACCCAAAGCCGAAGCAAAACCTTTTCTCCTGAAACTCGATGCTGCCAGCTCACAGGCCAGCAGACAGAAGCGGATGGGTCTGAATACCGCAGACGACCTGACGGGCACGAAATCCCCTTCAGCTCGAGGGAATACAGCGAATGCAGACTTTGGGCTTTAAATCTGCCGGCGTGCGTCTCGCCATACATAGCGTCCACTTGTAGTTTTGCTAAGTTTTGGGAGCAGTTGGGGTTTGTACTCCTGCACCGCACCCCGCTCGAATACTGAGAATGAGAGCCCATGGTTCATGTTTAACCCTATGCCAGTAAAACCCCTGAAGGTGCAAACCGTGAGCCGCAAAACAAGCCTGACCCGACAGACATGATGCCGTGCTGCCGGGGTGTAGGGGTTTAAGATTCGGAGCTGGTGGCTTTGGCTATTAGGGTTTGAACCCAAGCACTCAAAACCCCATGCAAGCCCTAACCCCTCAGCCCGCACGTCAACAAGGCCGTTGAATCTGTCGGCACAGAATCCCCCCAAACCCTGAGACCCTAAACCCCAAGCTAAAGAACTCCCAACCAAACCCCAAGCCCCAAACCCTGAATCCCCAAAGCCCTAGATCAAAAACTAACACCCTTAAGCACCAAAACCACAAACCCCCAAAGCCCTAACGCCCCAATGTGCGGGTGTCCAGACCCATGCCGCCAGCGAGGCCAGGTGCCTTCCAGCAGTTGCGGAGTTTAGGGCTTGGGGGGGGGGGGTTAGGGTTCAGGGGACGGGGGAGGGGGGCGGGGGGGGGCGGCTTCAGGGAGTTTAGAGGGTTGGGGAGTTTGGAGGTTCAGGGGAGCTTCGGGGGATTTTTGGAGTTTAGAGGTTTAGGCGCCGGTTGGGGGTTTATGGGTTTAGGATGCTAGGTGTTGGGGCTCCGGGCGGGCGAGACCTAAGTGAGCATTTCGGTGACTGTTGTCGGGAGATGGTAGGAAGCTCTATAGTTCCTTCATGGAGGGCAGGAAGTACCCCTTGACAAGACTTTGTCCGATACATCCGGACTTCTTGCACCCCCACATCGAACCCGCACCAAACTCGAGGTGCCCCCCAACTCCTCAACCCCCAAACCCCCCTTCCTGGGACCCCGGACAGCGCTACACCGGGTCCTTTGGCCTCAGGCCATAGACCGTGCCTCGATCTGCATAAGGGTCTTGGTGGCTCTACCCAAGAGGTTCTTGGAGGCTCTACTTGGGGGGTTCTGGGGCTTCGTTTCAGGGCTACAGGCTTCTTTGGGTCACGGGTCTAGGGCCTGCAGCTCAAGGATTCTCCGTGGAACGGACGTCACAGTTCTTGAGCTTTTCGGGGAGGACATGGCTGGATTATTCCGCATTTGACCCTGCTTTGAACCCTAGGACCTGAAGACCAGCACTCAAAAACCCCTGAAAACACCTAAACCTTATAAGGCCTGAGTCTGAGCGTGTGTTACACCCTCACCCCCAACATTCCTACGAGGAAGTCTCGGGGCCCTCAAGACGACCTTGCTGTCCGGGCTGCAGGGACAAGCAAAGGAGCCCGAGCGCCGAGGCGCCGATGACGTCCTTGAAGCAGCAGGGAGCCCTAAAACATCGGGTTTAGGGCTCAGGGGCTTAGGGCTTTTGGTAAGCACTACGAAGGAGAGTGCATTACATAAATAAAGGGCTATTTAGGGCTTTATGGGGTTTTCATGGGCTTCTGAGGGATTTAAGGTCCAGTTTGTGCCGGAAGGAGAAAGGGTCCATACTTCGGCCCAACGCGCCCTATAAAGCTCAAAGCCCCGTGAAACCCTGGGAACAAAAGCGAAACGAAACGAAGCCGCAAGAAAAAGCAAGAAGGAAACAAAACACCCTAAACCCTGAACCCTGGATCGGTCCTTCAACAGGGACCGCCGCAGGACCTTGTAGATCTTGTAGATCCGGAAGTGCGAGAAGAAGAAGTCGGCATTGGCGATCTCAGCAGGGATGCTGGGCAGGATTGGTCTTTGGGCTCTGTAGGGTTTTGGATTCTTGGCGTGGTTAGGGGTCGTGAGGTTTAGGTTGAAAATGCTTTGGGTTCAGGATTTAAGGTCTAGGGTTTCGGGTTTATGTGTACATGTCGCATTTGTAGCTAAAGTTGCTCGGTGCCTGTACTTCCCACTGATATCTGGGAGTCTGGGCGCAATACGCATGTGAAGGATTAAGTGCAGGGCCAGGCAAGCAGAGCGCTGCAATGTCATCATGTGATTACAGAGAACATGCATGGTCAGTGTGCATTGCCGACATGCGCCAGCAGGCATGAAATGGCGCCATGTCCCTTCTTCGGAATACGTTCAGGTTTTGTGGTGGGAGGGTGAAGGAAAGTGTTCAGGGCACCGTCGGGGCACGGAACTTGCGCACGCAGTCTCAGCGACGTGCCATCATAAGCGTGCCCAAGATGATGGCGATCAGAACGTCCTCACAACTTCTACATCTGCGTGTGAGTCTTGCTTTCTGTACATAGATTTCAAGAGACGCAGGGTTCATGACATTGCGGTTTCTACTCATCCTCGCACCCCGGCAAAGGAGTATAGGGCCTATAGAGGGCCCGAGACATTTATGCTTCATGTTCATCAGCGACCGCACAAGATGGATGGGTGAACTTTGAGCCCTCTGGATAATGTCCTGGAATGCCTTGAGCTTCGCCAGGAACATGATCCTGATGCTGGAGTTTTATGCGGATATCCTATGGGGTTGGGCCCTCTGAAAACATGCCCCTCTTAAGCCCATTACGGGCAACTGCCCACAGCCGTGCAATCCACAACCAAGGTACAGCCCGTTCAGCTACTTGCACCTGTGACAGACAGACAGGCAACTTTTCTGAATAGCTTTGCTTCTCATGGCAATGCTCCGGGCCTCTTTCGCAAACGAAACCCTCTCGAAACAAGAACGATGCCGTGATCTTTGGACAAGACATGCTTAACCGTATCTGCTGAACCCTAGATTTTGCACCGAACAACCCATCAACCCACACATGATCTCCTGTCCACCCACAGATTTGCATCTTGTTGCTTCTTACTTTCGCTCACTCCAACCTTGACACCAGTAGCGCATTCGACCTATCCACAGCTTGCGGGCTGGAGGCAAAATCACTGTTGCCCAGACCAGGATGGTGAAGAACTCCATCCAGTCCCGGCCGATCTGGAGAGGGGAAATGCAGAGGGTTACAACGGCAAACAATGCCTCCCTGGGCGGACCACCAAAAAACACCCTGATTTCTCAACTGCGGGTCGCCAAGACATGCTCAGCTCTTGAGAGAAACCTGTCTTTCCACAACGACCTGTCCTTTAGCGGCTGCATAACTCTAGTCTTTCGTGCGTTGAAGGCGCCCGCTGCAAAGGCGGACCTGAAACACCGGTCAGGTGTGCAAACCCAACGTATTGCTGAAGCACCCTCGGCTCTTGGGCCTTTGCCAGCGGTGTATCAGATTGTTTAGGGTTCAGTTATCCCCTGTTAGGGAGCCCTAGTCTCATGTCTGGCGCCTGTTTTCGGCTGATCGGCAGCATCGCGCCCAAGTCTCCCCCTTATCGGCCTCGGCTTCAGAGGTCTGTCTAAACTCGGGAAGTGTCTCGGGCTTCTTGGAAGTTAGGCAGTGTTAGGGTTGTTCGGGCTTATCGGATCTAATTCTAATCGGGCTTTGCATAGGTTTGTTTTGGGCTTGGCTCTTTCTTCAGGGTTTAGTCGAGGAGGGTTCCTTCCGGTGCTCATGATGGTGGGCTTGGCAGTTTTTCTTTCCAAAAAACACATACATATATATATATATGTATATATATATATATATATATATGTATATAGGCAACCCCCCACCCCCCAAGGACCTGCCTTTTTTTGATTGTCTCGGAGCTATATACGAACACATATAAATATACGCTCTACGTGCCCCACTGTTGTCTACCTTTTTTGGTGTGTATCCTGTCTACAGGTGCTATGACGAAGCAAGGTTTTGTCTGACAACAGTGTGCAAACGAGATGATGAAGTTGCAAGACGTTATATATGTGACTACATCATGTGTAGCACAAGTGCATGGCATGTAGAAATGACCCACGGCCTCTGGAAACTATTCATATACTAAACTTAGTCAGTAGAACTTGTTTTATTTATCTGGACTACTTCTACCATTTAGTTAAACATCTTAGAGTTGGGGCCAAGGCAACGATTACAAATCAAAGAAGGCGAGGCAGAACTGTATAGTTTCTTAAAAGCTATACTTGATCTCCAAGTAGTGCACCAATCCCATTCAGGTATTTACATGTCATACATAGGAGGTCTGGTTAAGAAGAGTATACTTCACAAGTTCTATCCATGACGAAAGCCATCTTTGATTTCGACTTCAAGAATATAAGTAGCCCCTTGCTGCAAAACAATAAGAAGGCCCCATGGCTACAATATTCGATAATCATGTGGCGCGCCAATTGTCCCAGTAGCTGTCCCCATTCTGTTCCAACATGCCTGGCCACTGAACTCGCAAGGTTCGATGTCTGGTGTTTGACCTCCAGTCAGTCATTTACATGTGTAACCTGGGGAACGAAGATGTTGAAATGAACTCGTCTAGAAGTTAACATGCCAGGCAATTAATGTGTATGTGCATATGAAAGAGCATATGTGGCTTGAGCTCATTGCATTTAGATTGTTTTTGCGACATGAAAGTATCGGTAAAACCGATCTTTTTTGCAAGCCCATGCTCTGAAAACATCGCAAAAACCAGTAAAAACCACAAAAAAACCGTGATTTAAAAACCTACTCGGCCACCCCATCCAATGGTTTGGAGAATCATGGCTTTATGGTTTTATTGGTTTTTGCGATGTGTTGAGAGCATGGGCTCAGAAAACATCGGTTTCAACGATTTTTTTGTAAGACTGCTCTCAAAAAGCATCGGTACAACCCATGTTTTTTGCTAGGACACTCTCAGGAAGCATCTGTAAAACCAATGTCTTTTGAAAGGCCGCCTGTAAAAAAACATAGCTAAACAAAGAATTTCTGAAGGCAGGCCTAATCCTTAATCCTAAACCCTGGGAGGAAGATGGCCATGTTGAGGCCGGCAGACACCCAAACAGAAAAAGATAGGTCCATGGGGGGTTGCCATAGATACATATATACATAAAAATTTTAAGGGGCTGCACCCAGGGGCGGGCAACGCTTCGAGGAGGCAGAGAACAGGCGCGACACGCGGGCGCGCGCGCACGCGCGCGCACGAGACAAGCTTTACGAGCCGGAAAAAGTGTCTCACAAGCCTCCTCCGACAGAGGCATCACGAGCATCGTTGCCTCCCTTCCTCGGCCTGTAAGCCCTCGCATACCCCCCCCCCCCTGAGCATCACTGGGCCCCCCGTTTTCCTCCTTGGGGCCATCGGCACCCCTCCCACGGGGCATGAAAATCCCAGAAAAACGCTGCCCCTGCCGAGGCAGGATTTGGAGCCCCTCTTCCCGAAATAGCGATGCCGCTGATGCTCATGATGCTCGCCGGGGCCCCCCCAAAAGCACCCCTTTTCCAGGTCGAAAAAAAAAACAAAATCATCGGGCGGCTTTCCTGCTTCGGAATGCTTTTGAAGGTGCTCTCGCATCTCCGCCCCGAACCGGCCCGGTCCGGAAGGGCCCCGGAAGGCAGGTCCCTGCATGCCACCCATTGCTAAAGCAAGGGCTTCCGCCCTGGCAGGGGCGTTGCCCGATTCAATGGCTGTCGATAGTGCCGACCCTCAAAGGGTTTGGGCATGCACTGGAGCCCCTAAAACACTTCAAGGTAAGGGGTTTGGGGGGGGCTGGGGTGGGGGGTTGGGGGTGGGGGGGGGCAGGGAGCAGTGAGGGCGGCGGGGGGTTTGGGCATGCACTGAGCCCCTAAAACACTTCATTTGCAAGGGCGGGGGGCAGGGTGCTGGATCGGGCGAAGGGCGAGGACACGGTAAGGGGTGAAGAGGACACTAGGGGTCTTCACTGACGCCACCCCACTGCCACTGGGGTCGGCGGATAACAATGTATATACATTATATATTTTCTAGCATTTCTAATATGTATATATGTATATATGTATATATGTATATATGTATATATGTATATATGTATATATGTATATATGTATATATGTATATATGTATATATGTATATATGTATATATGTATATATGTATATATGTATATATGTATATATGTATATATACATATACATATATATATCAGTGGGTGCATGGGCCTCTTTGTTGGCATGGGTCTGTTGGACCGGATTTCATGTGTCCGGACTATATGTATGTATATATATATATATTTCGTACCCCCGAACTATGTTTAAAACTGCCCGAACTGTTATACATGGTCCGGAATCGTCGGAACCGTTCTGGACTGTTCGTAACCGTGTTGCGAGACACCATCGCTCAAGTCAAAGTCGCAACAATAGCCCCACAGTGGTTATAATTCGCTAGGAACCGTTCCGAACTATTTATAAACATCGGGTTCTTTTATCGTCCAGAACGGTTCCGAGCAGTTCCGGACTGTCTGGAGCGATTTCAAATCATCTGCTCGAGAATTTATATACAGTTCTGAGGACTGTTACATATAGTTCAAGAGAAACTATATATAGTTCCTGGAGCATGTGGGTGGCCAAACACTTGAAGAGGCCTACGCACCTTCCAATATACATATATATATATACATATATACGTATAAGTAGATGTATATGTGTCTATTACTATTACTTTTTTTAAAATCTATTATTCGTATTACTAATTATTCATCTCCATGAGAGCAGTCGGGCCATCCTCAGCAGCGGCACTGGGCCCCTGGCACGCTTGGAAATGGAGACCCGCCATGCTCGTCTTGTTTGAGCCGAAAAACCACGGAGCAGGACGGAAGCCCGGCAATGGCAACCCAGAATGCTGGCAATTCCTTAATCAATGAATTGAAAAAAGGCTCTTATAACAGTGCTCTCGTAGAAAAACAAAAGGAGGCGAACCCTATCAGAATCGAATGTGTCAACCATTCGAGTCTGTGTCGAAATTGTGGTCTATACCGTTTCAATGTGTGGAAGTGTAGTAGTAGTAATAGTAGTAGTAGTAGTAGTAGTAGTAGTAGTAGTAGTAGTAGTAGTAGTCGTCGTCGTCGTCGTCGTCGTCGTCGTCGTCGTCGTCGTAGTAGTAGTAGTAGTAGTAGGGGGCGCGTGCCCGTGGTGCCTGGGTGTTTCGCACACTTACATGCCCAAAACATCGGTATTTACTGTGTTTCGTGCTTGTTGGGTGGGGGGGGGGGTTAAAAAAGTCCGTTGCCGGATGAGAACGTCCAGGGCGCAAACATCGCTATTTTTGGTGTTTTTGCTGCTTGACTTGCTGATTTTTGTTTCTTTTGCTCTTGGGTGGGGGGGCGGGGGGGGGTGTCTAAAATTTCGGTTGCCCTATGATGACATCCATGCCGCAAAACATCGTTTTTTGCGGTGTTTTTGCGCGTTGTTGCCGGATGATGACGTCCATGCTGCAAAACATCGGTTTTTTTTGGTGTTTTTGCTGACGTCCATGCCGCCAACATCGGTATTTTCGGTGTTTTTGCTCGTTGTTGTCGGATGACGACGTCCATTTTGAGCATTTTTTGTTTTATCGCATGTTGTATGTTGCCGCAACTACTTTCGGAGAAGAGAAATTTGGGCTTGCACCTTTTTTTCTTTTCGGTTGGCGGAAGGTTTAGAGGTCAGGGTTGAATTCACCCTTGGGTCCTTCGTGATCATCCGGCAACCACGAGCAAAAACACCGAAAATACCGATGTTTGCGGCATCGTCATTGCCGCCGTGCACCAAGGCGCCTGCTTCGCGCGATGCGTCGTAGTAGTAGTAGTAGTAGTAGTAGTAGTAGTAGTAGTAGTAGTAGTAGTAGTAGTAGTAGTAGTAGTAGTAGTAGTAGTAGTAGTAGTAGTAGTAGTAGTAGTAGGAGTAGGAGTAGGAGTAGTAGTGGTAGTAATAATAGTAGTAGTAGTAGTAGTAGTAGTAGTAGTAGTAGTAGTAGTAGTAGTAGTAGTAGTAGTAGTAGTAGTAGTAGTAGTAGTAGTAGTAGTAGTAGTAGTAGTCGTAGCTATGCGCTTCTTGTGGCGCCTGGTATTTTGGTGCCTTCGGATGCCGAAAACATCGATATTTACGACACTTCCTGGCTTCGCTGCGTGCGAATTGACACAGAAAGGTGCGTTCCTTGGAAATTCGCAGCATGGGTGCACAGAAAATTTCTCGAAATGCTAAAACATTGGTATTTACGACACTTCGTGGCTTCGTTGCGTGCGAATGGCCAGAGCATCCATGTCTGCACGATGAGAGCGTCCGTGTTACCAAAGCATTCATGTCCGCGCGATGACAACGTCCGTCTTACCAGAGCATCCATGTCCGCAAGCACCCATGTCCGCACGATGATAACGTTCGTGTGACCACTGCGTGCGAATGGCCAGAGCATCCATGTCCGTACGATGATAACGTCCATGCAAAAACATCGGTATTCGACAATTTCCGGCAAGCTAAGCATGTCCCCTTACCCCTAAACTTCACTGCCAGGGCCATGGGAGAAGCACGCAAAGCATGTGCGAGCAGCCAAGCATGCCAAATCCGGCCTTTCACTTCTGCGGAATAGTTGGTCCCACCCCAAAGCACAAATCCATTGTAAATACCATGCAATTCGGGTGTTGACGCGTGCAGTCAGACCAGGCGCCTGGGGGAGCGCTAGCCTAGTAGTAGTAGTAGTAGTAGTAGTAGTAGTAGTAGTAGTAGTAGTAGTAGTAGTAGTAGTAGTAGTAGTAGTAGTAGTAGTAGTAGTAGTAGTAGTAGTAGGAGTAGAGCCTAGTAGTAGTAGTAGTAGTAGTAGTAGTAGTAGTAGTAGTAGTAGTAGTAGTAGTAGTAGTAGTAGTAGTAGTAGTAGTAGTAGTAGTAGTAGTAGTAGTAGTAGTTAGTAGTAGTAGTAGTAGTAGTTAGTAGTAGTAGTAGTAAGTAGTAGTAGTAGTAGTAGTAGTAGTAGTAGTAGTAGTAGTAGTAGTAGTAGTAGTAGTAGTAGTAGTAGTAGTAGTAGTAGTAGTAGTAGTATTAGTAGTTGTAGTAGTAGTAGTAGTAGTAGTAGTAGTAGTAGTAGTAGTAGTAGTAGTAGTAGTAGTAGTAGTAGTAGTAGTAGAGTAGTAGTAGTAGTAGTAGTAGTAGTAGTAGTAGTAGTAGTAGTAGTAGTAGTAGTAGTAGTAGTAGTAGTAGTAGTAGTAGTAGTAGTAGTAGTAGTAGTAGTAGTAGTAGTAGTAGTAGTAGTAGTAGTAGTAGTAGTTGTAATAGTAGTAGTCGTAGTAGTAGTAGGGCCGGAGAATTAAATTAGGATTTTTTTTGTTTGTTTTTGGGTTTAGGGTTTAGGGTTTAGGAGGGTTTAGGGTTTAGGGTTGAGGGTTGAGGGTTTAGGGTTTGGGGTTTGGGGTTTAGGGTTTACGGTTTAGGGTTTAGGGCTTAGGGTTTAGGGTAGTACCAGTAGCAAGGACAAAAAACAAAAACAAATCCAAAAAAAAAATCCTTAAAAAAATAGACCTCCTAGTAGTAGTCGTAGTAGCAGCAGTAGTAGTAGCAGGAGCAGGAGCAGTAGCAGTAGCAGGAGCAGCAGTAGTAATCGTTTAGTCGTAGTTGTAGTGGTAGTGGTAGTGGCAGTGGTAGTAGCAGTAGTAGTAGTCCTGCGGCATGCGGGAAAATCCCAAGGAACGTCCATCATAATCCATGATGCGCTGAAGTCTCTCAGCTTCTACGACCTAAGGATTTTCGAAGAGAAGGCTCATCCACCGGGAGGCATCAGCTTTGTGGGCCACTGCCAAGATGCTTTGGCAGGGTGGCAGATCCAGAAGCTTCATGCGTGGCTTGCTCTAAATTTGGCATTCGATACTACAAAAGAACTGAACAGGTAGCCCCTTTTTTGATTCCCGAGCAGTGCGTCTGGGTGTCCAGACGGCGATTGGGGGGGAAGCTGATCCCTACAGGTCCCCAATTTCGTGAAGCTTTTTGGGTTCCTGCGACCACCAGCAACTAGGTGTCTCGAACCCACACTCTAGCCCCAGTCGCTCTCTCTGCTAGACTCTGAAGAGCTTGAAGGCCTAGATTTCAACCTCATAAGTCAGCTGCGATACCCTGAGAGTAGGCCCTCAAGCAGGACTCAGCTTGCACCGACTTCCGTGATGGCCTGGCTGACTGGGGGCGGGACTGGGGCGAGGGGGCGCTTGACAGTCCTGGGATATGGGGGTCACTTTGGGAGGCCCTCCTTTTTGCACATTTCTTCTGTCCACAAGGGAGCTTCTTGTTGGGTTTCAGCGTGGAGACGAAGGGATTTTTGAGTACTCCACGTCCCAAAATCATGTACAAGTTGTGCTTCGCAAAGGGCTTCGGGATTCGCACATGGCTCAGGCGGATCCGAGGATGCCCTTCTAGGCGCCCCGTCTTGATAGAAGGACAGGCTCGCCGGGTAAACAAAACTGTCGGACTTCCCGGGACATCAAGGACATCTGAGGAAACTTTCCTGCTGAAACTTGAGGTTTTTGGAGTTCCTCACCTAGCACCTATAGCACCTAGTACCTGGCTGATTCCCCCCGGCTCACCGCAACTTGCGGCAAGACCGCCAGGTTCCAGGAGGTCGTTGAATGCAGGGGGTTTAATTTGTTAGCCAAGACACGTTTTGAGGCTGTAGGAATAGATGCGATGCCTCCATCTTCCGCACCTAATTATCTCAGGACCTTTCCGGGCCTGAAGACGAAACCCCCAAAGGAGCTGCACCTCACAGGCCTGGTCCCCTGAATCCCAGCTCAACTATCCGACCAAGCCTAGAACCGGGTGTAGAGTTTAGGGGTTGGGGCTTTCAGATTGCTTCTCAACTAGAGTCAGCCTTGTTCGCAAAGGTCTGGCAACGTTCAGGGTTGAGGCCTGGAAGGCTTGGCTCCGGAATGCGCACCACATGCCTCGTATGCGCGACTTCGAGAGTCCGCCGTGAAAAGTGCTTAAATTCGTTGAAGCGCAAAACTCTCATGAGAGACAAGTGGACGCATTGGGGTGGCTGCGGGGGTTGGAACTGCCTGGTATTTCGAGCGACCAGCGGTCTCCATCGCTGTTCGAACTGTTCGAAGTTCGAAGTCACACGACAAACACGAGCATATCTACATGTTTGGCACATTTGCAGTTCAGGCTTGGATGATCTCCGTGAAGCTGACCTGAGCGTCTCTCAAAAACAAGGATGCCTTTGCAACAAAAATGTGATCATTTTGTCATGTCTGCAGGGTACAGGATCTGAATCTGAAGCTCAGACACCTCGATGTCGGTAGCATTGACAGGAGCTTGACGTAGTAAGACGATCTGCAATTCGTCACCTTCGCGAACGCCATAGTCTGCCAATCGCCTTGTGTCTTCGAGTGGCCAATCCTTGCTGTTTTACTTCCAAATCCCAACAAACACAACCGCAAATAAATCCTTCAAGCAACCTCCGTCAAGTAGAAGGAAAAGGCAACATGCTTCGAAGCCTGACCTGGTCGCCTCTTTAAAGAACAGGAGAAGCTGGCGCCAGGTGTTTACGTTCAAACCGCCCATATTGATAATAACACCCTTGAGTTCCGCAACGCGCTCGTCTGTGTTCAGTCTCATTGAGAACATCGAAGTGCCGGAGAGTTTGTTTCTTACCGAGATCATAACGTGGCCGTTTGACACGGGGAGCTGCCCCACGTCGATCGTTTTGGTGCTGCTGTCGGGATTCTCATTGTCGTGATCCATCGGCGCTACGCTCAAAGAACGCGCACAAGCACCTCAGAGCCGCATGGCTGCCAAACATTGGGGTCCGCCCTCAGTCTATAAATGCTCTCCTGACGCCGTGTTTTTCCAGAACCTGCAACCATAATGGAGCATGCGGAAACTGCTTTAGCCTGCTTTGACAATGGCGCATAGATGTGAAACATGCAGCGCAGGCTACAACAAAGTGGAGCGCTGCAATGCAACGTGGCATGTGGAGTTGCATAAAGGCATATAGAGAGGAATCCCTCGGGCGGAGGGGTGGGTGGGAGAAGGGGAAACTTTCACATGTGGTTTAGCAAATGCGTTTTAGAGTTTCGGCAAAACATACACTGGAAACTACCGCCTCTCTGCAAGTCTAAAGAAGAACCATGAACAGCATGTACTCAAAAGCAGCGGCCCTGGTACCCGAAAGGGTTCCGCGGCAATTCGCCGCGACATCCGGCCAAAAGGCGTCTGGAAGACCATCCTTTCCTTCCCAGCCCTTCCACCGCTGTCCTGGGAGAGCCATTTCCATTGGGGAGCAGTCCGATGCGATGCCGGTGGGCAGGCCTGGGGTCCGGTCGCCCAAAGCAAAAGCAGGTTCCCCGACTTCATGGCTTGGGCCGGTGATTGGCCCAGTGCGCGCAAGCGTTTACAATCAAGAGAGGCAAAACGCAGTGGGGTTGATAAGGGATCCGGTTAAACCTGAAAAAGGAGTACGACAGGGTATCCATAGAAGCCCCGACGCAGCGACTTACCGGCCTTCTGTGCGAAGAACTTGACATCCGGATCCTGGAGCATTCTGCGGGGGTCGGAGGCATGTCATGCTTGAACTCGAAAACGAACCCATTTTTGCGTGCAGTGGGGCTGTATCGCTTAAAGAAAGGGCTGTGTGTGGGAGTTCTGCTTTCAGATGCGGACACCTCAGCCATGTCTTATAGCCCCTCAAACCTTCCGAAAACACCCCAACGACCAAAGTGTTTTCAGGGTCTTCATTTTTTGGGGCTTTCTGGGCGCTTGGATTTCCTAAGGGGATCTTGCCGGACTTCAATCCTAGGTCTCTTCGGAGCTCTGAAGCTGCAAGCCCCTGGCAAGCCTGAGGCGCCAAACACAAAGAAGGTCCCTAAAGCCTCTGAACTCAATAAGAACCCTAAACTCCAGCAGTCCTCGTCTGCAAGTAGCTTGTACAGGCAGGGCACGAGCCTTGGAGGCAATAAAGCATAAAAAGGAGTCTGAGAGCAATCCTCAACAAAGCCCCAACATGCCCCTCTGACCTCTGAAGTGCAGCCATGTTGTAAGGCATCAGGCCCCGAAAACTCCCGAGCTGTTTCCATGCGTATAGGACAGCCCAGTAGGGCTTGCAGGGTTTGAAGCGTTTTGGGATTTAGCAGACCGTTAGGACCGCGAGGCTTGGGCTAGGCTTCTTGGGGCTCATAATTCTAGTTCCCCGTTCCCAAGGAAAACCGTCCTAGTGCAGCAGGGCAGCTTGTCGTTGAAGGTCTGTGGCCGCCCCATGCAAACCTTGTGCATGGCCTGGCAAGCCAATGCCCATGTCACGAGGTTCTGTGTCAAACCTCAAATGCCATCAAACCCGGGTGCGAGTAAGGGGCCTTAATGGTTTTCGCAGCATTGAAGCGCACATTGGGCACAGGGTCGCCGGTCATCCGCACCACCTTCAAGGAGCTGTCAAGGTTCAGTGAAGCCAGGGTTTTGGGTTCTGGGTTTCGGGTTCAGGTCGGCGTTTAAGGTTTGGGGTTTCGGGGTTGTAGGGGATCTTACTTCTGCTTTTTTGGCGCAGTGAGCTTGACGGGGCTCCAGGCGCACGCTGCGCTGCCAATTGAACTGGTGCGTACGCGAAGATTGAAAGACTGGTTAGGCCGATTCAGATGAGATCGTTAACTCTAATTCAAGGCTGCTACTTTTGTTCGAAGTGGCTTCAGGATGGAAGATTGTTGATGACGAGTAATTACCCTCCCCCAAAACCTTGAAAACCTCAAATCGTAGGCGATGTAGGCTCTGAAGCCTTAAGCCCTTTACAGTTTACATCCTGAGCACGCGTTTCAACCATATGAAGCTTGAAGCTGAGGTCGCTCACCAGTGGCACAAGGTGGGTGTCGATGAATTCACCACCGGCCACCTCTCCCACGTTCAATGTGGGTTAGGGTTTCATGGGCGACTTTAAACTAGCTCGAGTCGAGGCCCCAAGTGCCTCGAAGAGTTCTTGAGGACTTAGGGTGCGACTGCTGCACATCACATGGGGGTCGAATTTAAAGTTTGCTTAGTTGACTTAAAGATGGTCCGTCCTTGGATATTTGAACCATCTATGTGGGCCGTACCGCCACTCAGAGACCGAACCTTGAAGCCCGCAAAGACCTGGAACTTTGCTCAACATCTCTTGTATAGGTTCCCTTCATGAAGGCAGGGGAATGTTGAATGTATCCCACAACCGGGTAGACATTCAAACTCCCTCACGAAGCATCCTGGAACCTCGAGTCAAGGTCACGCCTCGGCCAACGAGCGTGCAGAGAGGATGGCGGAGATCCTGTAGAGGTAGTTCTTGTGCTCCACCAAGGCCTGCTGGTGGTTGTTTTGGGTCCGGCCTCGGGCCATTTTGGGCGTTTTGTCGGGAGGGGTTCGGGCTGGTTTGGGGCGGTCCCTTATAACATGTCTGTGGCTGGCTTGCAGAACCAAGAAAGATCGAAAAACCTAATCAACCTCGACATTATCTGGTTCCAGTACGAAACACCCTTTGAGCGAATGCCGCTCCAAGATGAAAATGTTTCAGGCATCAGCCGGCTGAGGCAAATAGATGTTCTTTCTAGTTGACGTGGAGGCCAGCGCCCGATTCAGCCCCTAATCCCTATAAACCCTAGTCCCAGAACCATTAGAGGTCTGTGAGCCCCAAGCCTGTGAGCCCCAAGCCTCTGTTTCTAAATAATCAATCAGGCGCGTCATGCGTGCCAAAGCCTGCAGCTCTGGGATGATGTTCACCTCGCTCCAGCGCTGACCTGCGGGAGGCTTCCAAGAATAATTCTTCGAGTAGTACCGGACAAAAATTCTTCTCTATTCATTATCAGATTCCGAGATCTGCAGATGCTTGGCTCTTCCCTACTTCTGAAAAGTACGAAATACGACCAGATACTAGACACGCGACCTGGGGTCACCGGTGGACACACAGTGAGAGGAGGGAGGTTCAGAGTTCAGGGTTTGGAGCTACTAGGGTTTTGGGTTTGGAGGTTAGGGTTTAGGGTTTAGGGTGCAGGAGGCTTTGGGTTCAGGTAGTGGTAAGAAAAGGTTGTCTCAGGGGAGATAGATTTATGGGCCCCCTACCTATCCCCGAGAAAGCCCAAGGGACCATGGACCATACTCAGCCGTCTTGCCAGAGGCTCGTGAACTATTTCAACCCTATCTAAGCTTGAAAACTTAAAGAGCTCGCCCCGCCGCCCACCCATCCCCACACACAGTGTCCCCCCACCGAGGCCTAACTCCCGGGATAGCCGGTTGAAGCTCGCCGCAAAAGCGTCCCTGCGGCTATTGAGGGCTCAAAGGGGTGAGGCTTGAGGGTCTGTAGGATCATACAGGCAGGCACGCTGATGTCGTACATGACACGTCGCACAAGGGCTCATGCTTTTGGAGGTTTAGTCGGCAGAGGGACGGAAACGTAGCCCACTGGACCCCCAAACCCCCAAACCCCTCCGTATCATTGCTTTTACTACAATTCTGAGATTCAACGTTTTTCGCGGCACTACTGTTCTGGATATGACATCATGTGAGCTTTCTTATCAGAAAATCACTATCATTACTTCCATTACTCGCATTCTTATCCTTATTGCTCTGTTGTACTGCTATTCTGATCATCGCCATTCAAACATACACGCATTGAGCTCCATGGCGCGTCTCTTTTTTCGAAGATGCTTCTCCGGAGCCCGCACGTGGCACGCGCGAGGGACGCTCCACTCTCTCTTTAAAGCGGGTGTCGGGCTTCAGAGTCTTCTGGCTTAGGGTTAAGGGGCTAGGGTTTCGGGTTTCAGGCTTTGGGGCATAGCATGGGTTCCCCAGTAGCCAAAGGCGCCTGAGGTATTGTAAGGATGTAAGAATCTTCAGCACGGGTCTCCAGCTGAAAACAGCTGCTACGAAAGGCAAGCCAACAGGTTCTCAACAGCTCATTCGAGGTTTGGGAAGTCGAGCTGAATCTTGATTAGGATTCAGGGCTTTTGCTAGGGCTCAGGACTGCAGGTTTTCTGAGTTAAGTCTGTTTGGAGCATGATGGAAGTGCCGAGGCTTCGTAGTGGAGGCTTCCACCTAGGTGCATCAGTAATGTATAGCTGAGGGTTTCGCTAACGCCCACAGAAGACATCGGCTCTCACTGGCAAATATCGTTCTTAAAGGATCTGCAATCTAAAGTCCGGCCCACCGTCCTGTGGTTTAAGGATTGCTGGCTTCGGTGACGAGGGTTGAGTTCGGGCTGCGTAGTGGTGGGCCTTGGGAGAGCTGTATGCGTAGCTGTCAGCTTGCATCAGCAACTGCTGGCTCCGCTCAGTGCGGCGTCTGATCCCAGAAGTGCGCCTGCAGTGCATGGGGGCATGGAGTCGGAGCAGAAAGCCCTCCAAACCCCGTCCCTGCGATGACTCCGCTGCAGAATGCCATTCCCTACATCCCTGACAACCAGGAAGTAGGGGCGACAGTAAAAGATTGTGAAGCAGCCGAGTCGCCATACTATGTAACAGCGCTAACCCTGTTTGGTGTTGGCGACTTGTGCTGCTACCAAGTCACAGAGAACCAAAACAACCTACTCCACGGGGGCTTCCGAGATGGGGGGTTTCACGCTATTCGGGCTTGGGCCCCCTTAGCCGAACAAATCCCTAAAGCCCCAAAAATCCGAAACCAGGGCTGAGGTTCCACACTTTGGCGACGTTGCCCTGCCAGGAGTTCTCCGGCCAAAGCACCGGCATCTGACAGGGCTTGATGCCAGCTTGGGGGTGGGGTGGACTTTCGTCACATGAGTGCTTGGTTGTAGCTGGTAGGGTTTCGCGCTGAGGGCGAAGGAGCCTGGATTCGTAACATTTGCTATGAGGTTTGGGCTTGCATGGGGGGGCACCAACCTCAAGCATGCTAAAAATGATTCTCAACGTGCAAGCAAGTTTCTGGGAGTTCCGATGCTCTAGAGTACCGCGCAGCCCTGTCAACTGTCAACGCTCGCATGCATGCCCAAACACTTGATGCTAAATAACCCCCTTGCGCCCGTAAACACATGTTAAATAAAGAGTACATGTATATACCTCCATACAAACCATACTTTATACAATATACAATGAGTCAGCACCCGCCTCTTTCTCGCGCCGCCGGTGACTGTGGCTCTCTGCCTCGGTCTCAGGGCTTGGGGAAAAATGAATAGAAGACTTGTGTATGGAGTTGTGCTCCACATTGCGGTCTCGACTACAGGGAGTATACTGCCATGGACACCCGAAAACGGGACGTTATGTAGAACAACCCTCATACAAATATGTACAGAGCGGCTCATACGTGCGCTAAAGTGGAGGATGCTAGGGGGGTAGATTCTGGAGCTTTGGCTTAAAAAGGACTGCCACTAAAAGTCAGACCAGGGCCGGATATGAAGGCGACTTCCAGGCCGGGACTTTGCTGACGAACATGTTCACCCTCCCTTCATCCCACACATCAAGCTCCCGGAGTGCTACGGTAGACCAGAAAGACGAACAGGAGAGGTCTCAAAGCTTGCCGGTGTCATGAATTCATGAGGTAAGCGCTGCAATTTTGAACGTCACACAAGTCCCTCACTGCGTTGTAAGTTGTAGGAATCCCTGCCAAGGAATTCGCTCGCATGCCCCCCCCAGAAGGCCCCTGAAGCTGAAATCGCTCCGTCGGGATTCGGGCGGGGTCCACATGCCCAGGATCCGCAAGCAGCCTCGGCTGCTGGGGCGATGTGCTAAGGAATACTTGCTTGAAGGTTTACCCAGACTCCCCCCCTCCATTGCTCACTATCACGACCTTTGGCTCGGCAGGTAGGGCTTCAGTGTAACAATGCTTGTGTTCAAGCCAAGCGGGCCTGAATTTAGGCTTTTACGACTTGGAAGGGCTTCTTGAGAGTGCTTTTCGGGACTTGTGGCTGAGACCTTTTCGTAAGAACTTTTAATGTCGCAGCTTCTGAAGTCTCACCCAAATGCCAACTGCGAGCGCCTCCCCATAATCAAGATCAAGATCCGCCGTGGAGCTTTCAAATTTGCAGCAAAAAGAAAGCGTAGTCCTCTGCCCAACCCAAAGCCTTGAAGTTTCGAACGAAAGCTACTCACCAACCGCACACATGCGCCCCACCCCCTATGTAGAGTCTTATAGAGCTCTTCGTTCCCAAGACACCAGGCAGGCAGTTCTTGCAACAACCTATTGTTATCCCGAATCATGAATACAGAGATATGTTTGCAGTATATATCTTTCATCAGAACCCCCATGAACGCCAGGAAGAAGCCCTCTCGCACCAGATGAAACTCCATAGCCTCCTGGCCTCCGCTGCTCCACCGGCATCTTGGCGAACCAGTCCATTTCCTGAAATTCGGGTTTCTGGTTGTCAGCCTTGGAGAGTAGTAACTGAGTAGTGCACGTGGTTCTGCCTGTTGGAGCGCTTTCGGCTGCGAAAAACTCGTCCTGCTGCTGCTGCTGCTGCTGCTGCTGCTGCTGCACTGGATTCTAAAGACATGCACCCAAAAGCATATGCCCCTGACCCAACACAAACAAGGGGCCGGCCTGGCTGCCTTTGGTCGGATCCCACACGATGGGATCGCCTTTCCAGACCTGGTAGGCTCACACCATGTACAGTCAAACCCCAAAATCTCTAAAACTCTAAAGGTGAGCTCAAGGGCCCTGCAACCTTGCATAAAGTAGCCCATAGAATGCCATGTAAAGTTCTAGGGTCCCCAATAGTCCGGTACTCTCTCCAACGCTTGTATCCCTAGAGCCCACCCTGAACTCCAAATCCAGCTCACACCAACTGAGGGAGGTTGCAGAGGGCTTTGAGTGTCGACTGCGATGGGAAAAAGCTAGCACTTCAGAGCGCCAACTTCTTCTTTCCTCGCTGCTCCCCCGCAAACTCTGCACAAGCCTCCCGGCCATAGCCATGGAGCCCTGAATTAACGACTTTCATGCTTGAGGACGGGCTCGATTATCAAAAAAACATATGTATATATATATATATACACTATATATGCTTATCTGATCAATGAAATCCAAGACCCTTCGGCGTGATACCGTTGGGAGCCTGAAACTTTTCTTCAGCCCTTCACGCGAAACACTGAAGAGGCGGCTTGGCATCCCAGCCCCCCGCAGCTTGAACGCTGCAAAAGGTGTCAGGGAGGTGGTGCCTCGCCATTTGGGCCGAGTTTGGGGTATGGGGTTCTCGGGTTTTCTGGGGGGCAATGTTATTTTACTTAGGATGAGGGATTGGGTTATTTGGTTGAGGGCCGCAATCGTTCCGCCGAAGAGCCCCCAGGCCCCTCTGATGCTCTCGAAACCCCCAAGCCCTTAGACTCAAGAGGCCTGGACCCTGCCACCACAAATCTCAATGTGGACTTCCCAACTGTTCCCATGAGATTTTCTCCTCA